ACGGCGTCCTGCGCCCCGCGCCGGGGGCCGGGGGGGACCCCTCGCCGGGGAGGTGCCTGTTCTCATCTCCCCTTCTGATTGTGGTGGCGGCGTTTTACTGATTTTTCCTTAAGCACCGTCCTTCTGTGGATCCCGAAGGCCCCGCCGTGACCCGTGCCCGCCTGCGCCCGGAGCCCGCGCGTCCGGCCTGGCCACCCCGTCCGGAGCTCACCTTCGGGGCTTCCCCCCCCCCGGGACAGTAAACCCTCAAGTCCTCCCGCGGCCGAGGGGGGGTGGAAACACGAATCTCTCCATGGTGGAGAAACCTTTGCTTATCCACTGTGTTCTACTCAGTGTCCAGTGATGACAGACACAGGCAGGCAGCGCGCGCGGGCCGGGGCGGCGCGGCCCCGGGGCCGGGGCGTACTGATGTCACACAGCGTTGGTTTAGGGTACCGGGGTCTGTGTAGATCGTCAGCCTCCGCTGATCCTGCTGCGGCCTGGCGAGCCCGGCGGGGCTCGGTGCCCGCGGCCAGGGCTCCGGGGGTCAAAGGCGAGCGCATGCGCGGCGGCCCCTGTACCCCACGGCAGGCGCCGCCTCCCCGCCGTGTGTGTGTGGGGTGGGGGGGGAGGTGGAAGGCGGTGAGATCTTTGCCACAAGTACCTAGTGCACTGCCCCGAGCGTTGTTGCATGGTGCAGGGGTCCGATGCGTCCCCGCCCGCCTCCCACTCACCTGACTGCTCTGTGGAAAGTGTCATTAAAGATCTCTCTCTCCTTGACCGGGACTTGGGACGTTCTTTCGGCGCCCCTGGCTCTGGGCCGGGCGCCGTGCTGACGTTGGGCCTGCTGCGGTTCTGGGCAGGGGTGGGGTGGTCACTGAGCCCTGCGCGCCCAGCCCCGGGGGCCTGGGGAAGCCGCCTAAAAACACCACCTGCCCACCGGCTGGCCTAGGTTCTCAACAGCCACCGGCCTGGGGCGGGCAGCGAAGGAGCCAGGTTCCACCCAGGCCGGGCCCAGCTGCGGCGGTGCGGCTGCAGGAGTGCGGCCTGGGGTCCTCCCAGCGTCCTTGCAGGAAATCCAAAAGAGCCACCTGCTTCCAGGGGTGAGCCGCACTTGAGCAGTGGGGTGTGTGTGTGGGGGGGAGGGATGGAAACGCAGGGGCGCTCTAGAAGCCGCCCGTGCTGCTGCGGCCTGAGCTCCCGGGCCGCACGGCTGGAGGACGCTGGTTGCCCTTCATGGAGAAAGGAGTCCTTGCAGTTGTGGAGTTGGTGTGTTTCTGGCACGCTGGGGGCGCAGGTGGCCCTGGGGAGGGGGCGCAGGTGGCCCTGGGGAGAGGGTGCCGACCACACAGGACGGCCTACCGCAGCCTCGCGTCTACCAGCAGGTGCAGCAGGGCAGGCTTGCCTCATCCGGGTGTCTCCGCACAGCAGGAAACCCGCCTTCCAGTTCTGGTTGGATGAGCACGCACAGAGGTGACCACAGTGTCCCTGGCGGGCAGAACGTGGCCTCCGCTGCAGCAGGGCTTTGGGTCTGCACACCAGCCTTCTGGTGGCTGTGGGAGTTGGAAGCGGGGCCCCGCGTGGGTGAGGCCGTGGGGCTTCAGGGAAGGAGAACTTGGTAGGTGCACATCCTCCCCAGCCCCTCGCTTATGTTTTTTTTGGGGGGAAGGAGGTGGGGGGTGGGAGCACCTAGAAAGGGGATTCTGTGGCCAACACAGACCAATGTTTAACACGGTTCCCTGCGGTGCTGTGCTGAGCTGCCTCCACCGTGTGCCATCTTGGGAAGCAGAAGTTGAAGGCAAGGCAGGCTTCGGGAGGAGGTGCGCGTGTGATCACCTCCGCAGACACGCGTGCTTTGGGAAGACAAGGGGCTTCCGTCCATTTGGGAGGCTGAGGAAATCCCTTTGCCCGGGCGAGGATCAGGGTGTGAGGCCATGAACACTACGTTCCCCGAAGCAAATGTAACAAGAGGCCGCCCTGCAGCTGCAGCCCTGGGCTTGTGCACACAGCAGGCCACTTATAGCAAAGGAGGAGGTGAGCCCCACAGTGACCCCCCCCCAAAGACTCTCAGCTGACACCCACCATCAGTGCACAGGTGGGGCGGCGCGGCCAGCCCTCCCCAACGAGAATGCCCAGGAAAAGCCGAAGCAGCACCCTGCGTGGCACCAGCCCACAGGAGGAGAATCCCTTTTAAGGACACGCACGAAGTTCAGGCCGCGCCCCTGCCAGCCCCAGAGTGCCGCACGCACGTATGTCTGCACCCTGGCTCCCCCCCCCCCCTTCCAGAGCTGCAGCACCAGTTGTTGGCCAAAAATAAACACCATTCCTCAACCATATATGTCCACCGGCCTCGGGTGTGGGGAGGAGCAGCACGAGGAAGGTCAGACCCTGGCCGGGCACACTCACGCGTGGCCACCGCTCACCATGCACATAACCCAGCTCAACTGGGAGTGCCTGCTGCACCTCTTCTCCTTCCTGGACAAGGACAGCAGGAAGAGCCTGGCCAGGACCTGCACCCAGCTCCACGCTGTGTTTGAGGACCCCGCGCTCTGGCCTCTTCTGCACTTCCACTCCCTCACCGAGCTCAAGAAGGACAACTTCTTGCTGGGCCCGGCGCTCCGCTGCCTGTCTATCTGCTGGCACTCCAGCCGCGTGCAGGTGTGCAGCATTGAGGACTGGCTCAAGAGCGCCCTCCAGAGGAGCATCTGCAGCCGGCATGAGAACCTCGTCAGTGATTTCCTCCTCCAGGTGTGCGACAGGTAAGCCTTGCTGGCCCGGGGTTCTTGGGGGACAGGGGGGCACAGATGACAAGACCAGATGCTATCGGGGTGCCCCAAGGGCAGAAGGTGGAGGGCAACACCACTAACTCTCCTGTGACAGGGGAACTGGGCTGGCTGGCCCGGCCTCACGGGCAGCTGCCCTCTTTGGCACATAGTTAAGTGCGGCCTGTGTCCAGGTCTAGATTTTCAAGGTCAGGCTCCCCCACCGCATGAGAAATGGTGCAGACGACACTCCGTGCGTCTCTGGTCAGCTGTGCCAAGCCAGATCACAGGAGCAGCAGCAATGGACTCCTCAGGACCCGGCCCCCTCCACCAGGCCTCAGGGGAGCTTGGAGCTCCTTTGTAAAGGAGCAAACTGATGCCCGAAAGTGATGTGATCTGCCTGCCGTCTCTTGGGGTGCCAGTGCGGTAGAGTCCTGCCTAGCAAGTGAGGGGCCCCGAGTTCAAACCTCAGTACTGCTAATAAATAAAAACAAAAGCTATGAAGCCGGGTGCTGCGGCCTCACACTTGGAATCCTAGCCTCTCAGGAAACCTGAGATCTGAGGATCAAAGTCCAGAGCCCTCCTGGGCAGGAAAGTTCCTGAGACTCTTTTTAACCCCTCCCCCAAAAGCCTGAAATGGAGCTGTGGCTCAAGTTGGTAGAGTGATAGGTTTCAACAAAAAAGCTCAGGACAGTGCCCAGGCCTTGAGTTCAAGCCTCAGGACCTGCATACACATATAGGTTGCCTAATGAACTAACTTTCTATCAACAGTGATGAACTTTTCAGTGTAAATCTGTCCCTCAGATATTTCGCACTTGATCCTTTCAGCCCACTGCTGGGGCAGCTGCTGTTGGTGGAAAACTAGGTTCAGGCTGCCTCATGAAGCTCAGCTGCTTCTTGGCAGCACAACAGGAAGGAGAGGGATTATGCCTCGGCACCACCTCCTATTGGTTCTGGTTTTGTAAATTGGGCTTTGACTTCAGCAGATGCAGGCCATCTTCTAGAAATCAGTTTGGAGGGTGATGTGAGAGTGGAACAGCCCTGAAGCTGTCCACACGCCACTGAACCAGCCAGGAAAGCTCTGCTCCTGTCCAACTGTGCCACTCCAGCTCAGGTTGAAAATTTCAGTCCAAGACACCAGGGCGTGGAGCTGGAGTCACAGCTTTCTGTGACACTAGAAAATTCAGCCTATGAAACGGGCTGGGTCATTTGGACTCGGGGTAAAAGGGCTAGCCAGTAACACTTTGCAGGAATGGCTAGCCTTCTGGACAGTCTGAGGAAGGACGGGCCTGGTCAAAGAGCTGGGGCCTCCCTCCCCCGTTTATCCTCGCCCCCTTTTCCCCAGCACAAACCGGCCCAGCCAGGTAGCGTTTAATCAGCGACCTGTGGCAACAGGCCCTGCATGAGTGGCTCCCCTAGGCTGGGGGCGGCCTGGTTATGTTTATATCTAGGCCACTCCTCGCACCCCAAACCACAACCCCTAATCCTCACTACCCTGTGACTAGACATTATCCCACCCACCCGCGTACGTAGAGGCCCATGTCTGTTTGCTGGAGAGACGGGGGACAGAGGGGCCTTGAGGCCTTGCTGGGTTAGCATTCGGGGTGTCCCTGACCGTGGTCACCTGGGGTCAGCCCCCACCAGGTGGGGCTGAAATCTGAGCTCTAGGCACCCCCATTCCTGCTGGAGTCACTGGGGGGGGTGCAGCTTGAAGCTAAGACTCTGAGGTGCCCGCACAACCAGTGGCACAGCATTGGTCCCCCCTGGAATGGCGACCTGGGACTCTGAGCGCACAGCACCCCCCCCCCCAAGGCGAGAACGACGAGGGTGGGGGCTCAACTGCCCTTTCCTCCTGGGGGAAGGGGGGGATGTCGGGGACACTGAGCCACAAGGGACCCCCCACGCGGGGCCAGGCCCGCGGCCGGCAGGGGCGCCTCTCTGGTCACGGCGCTCTCCCCGCAGGTGCCCCAACCTGGCGTCTCTCACCCTATCGGGCTGTGGCCACGTCACCGATGACTGCCTGGCGCGCCTGCTGCGCTGCTGCCCGCGCCTGCGCACGCTGCGCTTAGAGAACTGCGCG